TGTTCCCTTCTTCAAGATCAAAGTAGTCTCTGGCAACCGAGGCGTCAATCGCCTGCAGCGCGCTGTTAACCACCTCAGTGCCCTCGTTGAAATCCGCCTCAGTGAGGATGTAACGCGGCATCGGCCCCACCTGAGACATGCGGTCCTGGACAGTCTCCCAGTACTTCCTTTGCTCCTGCGCGGGGCGGCCACGCGTCCTCCAGGCACACATCGCCTTCACCTCTTTCTCGTCAGGGCAGTTCATGATGGTGAGACTGGTGTGCAGTTGCATCGCCAGTGTGTTGAAGTTACCGCTTTTTAGGGATGCCAGCAAAATCATGCCCCACCCATCAGGCGGCAGTTTTGACGACGGCGGTGCTCCTTCCTCCGACACATCGTAGATAATATACCCCTTCTTTCCGCGCCGGGCCAAGTCATCCAGAACAGCGATAATACTGTCCGCACCCTCGTGCTCCGTCACCGTCTGGGTGGTCTTGTCAAACACGTACGCCAACTCTCCCCCAAAGCAGTAGACAGCCACCTGGAATTTCCTGGCGTCGTAGTGGAGCAGCCTGTAGAGGAGGTAGGAGCCAACAGTCATCGACTGCCCCATCCCGGGCGTCCCAAGCAATAAAACTCGTCGCACGTTGGACGCTCTTCTAATGGAACGGCGGAACAACACGCGCAGAAAGACATCCAGGCGTTTCCACACCCGCTCCGCCTCGGCGGTGACGTAGCAGTCGGTAAGATCTGTGCCCTCCCGCAGCGAGTACGGCCACCCCTTCTCGGAAGAGAGCACCATCAGCCTGGGGCGTGGTGGGCGGAACTGTTCTACGGCGTCATCAAGTTCAAAACTCAAGCCTCGAGGCTTGTACTTCCACGACTTCGTTGGCCGTTGGCCCTCCTTCACCTCCATTCGCACCAACTCCTCCTCGTACTCGTCCACCTCGGGAAACCCCACGACGTGGCTCCAGCTCGCGTTGAGCACAGAGCCGTAGAGGTCCTCGGGCAGCCGTCGTCTGGCAACTTCCGCCCCCCGCTCTGCCCCCGCCTTTTCTCCCTGTCTGGCCCCTTCTGCCTCCACCGCCGCGGCAAGGGCTGCGTCGAGTTTCGTTCTTGCAGTAGGAGAGGCGACGTCCTTCTGTGCAAAGCCCCTCCAGTCGTGAAGGGTGCCCACCCCGCGCTCCGCAAGCCTGCGTGCATCTTCAATTGCTTCATTTATGGTCGTGTAGGACGGCGAGGCCAGCGTTAGGCCCAAGTCATCCTCATCTGTGGCAACCGCCTCGGACTGCGCAAGAACACTTTCAAGAGAGACATTCTCGTCGGCCGCCACTACTCCTCTGCCGCCCAATTCGCTGCGGGGGACGTCGCTCAGCTCGACTTCAGGGACTTCGCCTTCGCCCCCAAACAGGACGTCCTCCACGCGACTGGCGAGGGTCCACTTTGGCCGCGGCGGCGCCATCCAAATGCCCGTGCGGTGCAGCATCCCACCCACCCCGCCAGCGGGCGGCCAGCGGGCGCCGCCGGTCCCGGCGGGCAGCTGCAACTGCGGCGCTCCGCACGCCCCGCGCGGTCGCACCGCGGCGCCTCGCGCTGAGAGAATTGGGGCCCGCCGAAAGCAGCGCCACATTTTTTCCCCCTCTTCTTCCTACGCCCGACTGGGCTGTGTGTCTGTTCGCCCGCTCGCCAGCACTGAGGCCGAAGTCTTCGCAGCCACACAAAAAAGCAAGGGGGAAACGAGAGGCACGGGCCCACAATGTCCCCGCCGCAGAACAACACATTCCCCCCCACCTCACGCACCGCCGCCGCCGCACAGCCGGCGAGTGTCGCTCTGCGACGCACACAGCCCCAGCAACAACACAAAGACAAGTTGGCTGCGGCCGTGCC